CATTCTTTCTCTCTCGCTCGCTCATGTGAGCTCTTGCTGCTGCAAAGAATAAATTAAACAAAATTAACTTCAGCTATAACACCAAAAGATATAATCTGTTGGGTTGTTTGGGAATTCATGACGCATTTTTGCATAAGTAAGAACATATTATGACTTTCCTTATGAAATTTATAAAAGAAAACTTTGATAAATTGGACTTCATTAAAATTAAAGTTTTTGCTCTATGAAAAACATGTTAAGAGACTGAGAAGACAAGCTATTTCTTGGGAGAGAATATTTGCTAGCCACATATTTGATAAAAGTTATATTCAGAATATGCAAAGAGCTCTGCTATTGTTAACAATGTTAAAATGAATCTTTTTGAACATTAATTTTTTGTTAAGCTTTTGGCCATTAAAAGAAATTAATTGTCTAGGGAACCAGCAGTTAGCGTAATGGCTATGTCGCTGGACTCCCACGTAGTCGACCGCGGTTCGCGTCCCAGACCCGGTGGCTTAAAACTCACGCCGGGCGCGTGTGTGTGCGCGCCCAAGATCCCGAGAGGAGAATGGAGGAGAAGGGATTGCGGCGTGACCATCCCCCCTGGGGGGTGATTTCTCGCTTTCTGTCTCTAATGTCTCTCTCTGTCTGTCTGGCGAGCGCACGCACCCTATAGTAAAAATCTCTCAAAAAAAAAAAAAAAAAAAGAAATTAATTGTCTAGAAGAACGATTACTAGCCCAGAGAATATAAACTAGTTAAAGGATCTTAACTTTTTAAAAGTGGTAGCATTTTGGAGACCAGCAGGTGGTGTGGTGGTTAAGGCCCTGGATACTCCCACATGGTAGACTATGGTTCAAGTCCTGGACCTGGTGGCTTGCTTTCTCACTTTCTCTCTCTCTCTAGTTAAATTAAAAATAAATAAATGAATTTTAAAAAAGTAGTAGCATTTTATTTTTTGTGATAAAATTATTCTGTTAAATCCAAAAGAGGCAGAAGCAGTAAAATAAAATGAAGAGGGGCCAGCAGATGGTGTAGCAGTTATGTGGCTAGACTTGGTGGACCCAGTGGCTTAAAAATCACACCAGGTGCATGCGCATGCATGCCCAAGATCCTGGGAGGAGAATAGAAGAGAAGGGAGTGCTGTGTGGCTATCCCCCCCCAAGGGGGGGTGATTTCTCACTTCCCTCTCACTGTCTCTGTCTTCTCTCTCCCTCTCTCTCTCTCTTTCTCTCAGGCAGACAAATGAGCCCTAAGGCAAAAATCTCTTTAAAAAAAAATGAGATACATAAACAGATAGTTAACAAAAGGCAGAAATAGGATTTGGAAACTAAAGAAAATAACTAGCCTTATGTAGAGCTTACCGTATGCCTGAACTGTTGTTCTAGGCACTGCACAAATACACTCATTTTATCCTGTGACAATGCTGAGGTGAATATTGTTATATTATGCTCATTCTTTAGATAAGATAGAGGCTTAGATGGTTTTTAAAAACTTGCCCAGAATCACACAGCTAGTACTTAGAGGAAATGGCATTTAAACATAAAATTTGGTTCCAGGTTATACTCTCAATTTTTGTACTATGCTTTTACTGAAATCAACAAGTATTTGTCAAATATCTACTATTCTGAAGGCATTGTATAGGACAGAACAAGAGAAAATTGTAGTTTTGCTCACAAGAAATGAGTAATGTTATAGGAGAAACCTACAGCTAGCTCATTATGGAAACAAACAAGGAGGAATGAATTAGCCTTTAGGGAGATCGCAGGTTAAGAGTTGAGATTCGTTAGTGACTTCAATGTGTAGGGGTGAAGACTGACAAGGATGTAAAAGCCATTCAATGGAGGCTCAATTTTAGGTAAATTGGCCTTTAGTAACATTGATATGAAGTAAACAAGCTTTGGACAGAGTGACTTCAGACTAATCAATTTTACTCAAGGGATTTTAGGTAACAGTTTTCATTTTTGTTGGTTTAGAAAGATTGATTTTAGTGGAAAGCCTTATTGAGCACATACTATGAAACATAGGAACAGCAGCCCTTGCCTGGTAGGCAAAGGAGCTTTGATTTATCATTGCAGATCGAGGGGACTGAAGGATTTTAATGAAGACAAGGAAGAAGTAGTGGGCTGGCTCTATAGCCTAGTGGTTAAGGAAGCAGATCTCACATGGTTGGCCATGGTTCAAATCCTGGCCCCGGCACATATGCAAGCTGACCCAAATCCTAATAGGATGGAGACATGGAGGAGACGAATTAGTAGTATGACTGCACTTCCATTGGGGAAGGCACTTTCTCTTCCTATTTCTCTCTGTCTGTCTGTCTGTCTCTCTCTTTGGCAAGTGTGCATGCCCTTTGGCAATTAAAAAAAAAAAAGACAAGAGAAAAATGTAATAATTTTCTACAGTGTTACTTTGGCCCCATAATACTTAGTGATACCCACTACATTCTTTAAAAAATAAGAAAACTTGGTACCACAGTAATAAAAGTAATGATTTCAGAATGATCTTTTTCCTAGACAAAAGTCTGAAAGTGGCTGTAGCTTTGGTACAGAGGGACTTCTATTAGACATTTTATATTAGAAACTGAAGACAAATTTATTCAATGCTATATTTCAATTTTCCCTTCATTTCTGATTGTATCTAACTACCTGGAAAGGGAATACAGTTGACTTTCCTAGGCAGATTTTAAGATTTAAAATAATACATAAGCCCCAGAGGTAGGAATTTTCATTACTTAGGTTTACTTTCAGTAAATCAAATCACTAGTTTGTGTGTTTTCCAGCAGGATTTGTTCCGTTTTTTTTTTTTTTTTTTTTTTGGAGAGATTTTCACTGTAGGGCGCGTGTGCTCGCCAGACCGACAGAGAGAGACATAGAGACAGAAAGCGAGAAATCACCCCCCAGGGGGGATGGTCATGCCGCAATCCCTTCTCCTCCATTCTCCTCTCAGGATCTTGGGCACGCACGCACACGCGTCTGGCATGAGTTTTAAGCCACCGGGTCCGGGACGTGAACCGCGGTCAACTACGTGGGAGTCCAGCGACATAGCCATTACGCTAACTGCTGGTTCCCAGGATTTGTTCTGTTTTAAGAATCAAAAGAACATTTGTAAGTGGCTATTAATAATACTTCAAACATATTTAAATTTCAGTGAAGAATTAAAGCCAGCACAATAATAATGTGTATTCATCAGTGACTGTACTAAGACATAATGCTGGTAAATGTTTCAGGACAAAGAAGCAGGAAACGCTAAGAAGAGTTGGGGATAGAAAAAATAAAATAAATAAAAAGTGTTTATATTCTTTTTAAAAATTATTTATTTAACTTTATTTATTAACTTATTTATTTTAATTTGACCAGAGGGGAACACAGAGAGAGAAAGTAAGAAAGCAAGCTGCCAGGTTTGGGACTCGAACCGTGGCCAGCCATGTGGGAGTCCAGCACCCTTAACCACACGCCACCTGCCAGCCCCAAAGAGCATTCATATTCCAAATGGAACTATGAACTGATAAACTTTGTGTCTACTAGTCAAAAACTGTAACTTAACATTGAAGTCAATCAGCCACCTCTATGGGATGCTTAGACTAGGAGGGTACCAGGCACAGCTAGAACCCACTACGGGTGGATTGTGTCCTAAGTGTGTGCCACAAAGGAACTTTATAGTTTCCAGGACGATCTGTAAATGCAACTGTGAACACCTAATCCACATGAACAAAGGTGGAAAGAAAATGTTGTTCAGAATATGAGAAAAGTAGGGACCAGCAGTTAGCATAATGGCTATGTCGCTGAACTCCCATGTAGTCGACCGTGGTTCGAGTCCCAGACCCGGTGGCTTAAACTCATGCCAGTGCGGGTGCGTATGTCCCCAAGATCCTGAGAGGAGAATGGAGAAGAAGGGATTGCAGCGTGGCCATCCTCCTGGGGGAGGTGGATTGTGGTTTCTCTCTTTCTGTCTCTCTCTCTCTGTCTTTCTGGTGAGAGCATGCACCCTACAGCAAAAAAAAAAAAAAAAAAAGAGGATATGAGGAAAGTAGATAACCAAAGTCAGAGTAATCTAATGAAAGTTAATGTGGGACTAGCAGGTGGGGTGGTGTTTAAGGCATTGGATTCTCACATGGCTGACTGTGGTTTGAGCCCCAGACTCAGTGGCTTGAAAATCATCCAGGTGCGATTCTGGGAAAGCAGCAGCACCAGATCCAAGGTAGCAGCCAGCAGGAGGCTGATGAAGGAACTTGAAATCCGCAAAAGTGGAACGAAAAACTTCCATAACATTCAGGTTGATGAAGCTAATTTATTGACTTGGCAAAGGCTTACTGTTCCTGACAACCCTTCATATGACAGGGTGGCCTTCAGAATTGAAATTAACTTTCTAGCTGAGTACCCATTCAAACCACCAAAGATCACATTTAAAACAAAGATCTGTCACCCGAACATCGATGAGAAGGGGCAGTTCTGTCTGCCAGTAATTAGTGCTGAAAACTGGAAGCCAGCCACTAAAACCGACCAAGTAATCCAGTCCCTCCTAGCACTGGTGAACGAGCCCCAGACAGAGCACCCACTCTGGGCTGATCTAGCTGAAGAATACTCTAAGGACCATAAAAATTCTATAAGAATGCTGAAGAGTTTACAAAGAAATATGGGGAAAAGCGACCTGTGGACTAAAATCTGCCAAGATTGAGTCCATCAAGAGTGAGCAGAGACCCCTAGCAGTTCCTTCAGACACCTCGCAAAGCAGGACTCTGGAAAATTGACATGTGCCACCGCCTGGCGTTTGCTTGTGGCAGTTACTAACTTTCTACAGTTTTCTTAATCAAAAGTGGTCTAGGTAACCTGTAAAGAAAGAATAAACAATTTAAGATGTTCTAAAAAAAAAAAAAAAGGCAAAAAAAACCCAAGAAAATCTACGTGCATGTGCATGTGTGCCCAAAAGTCCCAAGAGGAGAATGGAGGAAGGGATTATGGTGTGGCCATTCCTTTGGGGGATGATTTCTCACTTTCGCTCTCCCTGTGTCTGTCTCTTTCTCAGGAGAGTGAACGCACCCTATGGAAAAATCTAAAAAATAAGTTCACGTGAGTATCAAATGAAGGATTGAGGGGACTCATTTTCTGCATACAAAGAAGATTTCCCCTATAGCAACTACCCAAAATCTGAAAACCTAGGAGTAAAGACACAATCAGAATGTAATAAGTGAAGGAAAAGAAAGGAAAATAGATTTGATGAAAACTGACCTGCCCAAAATTGAATTTTTTCTCACTTTAAAATATATCTATCAGGGACCAACAGTTAGCATAATGGCTATGTTGCTGGAATCCCACGTAGTCGACCGCAGTTCGCATCCCGGATTCGGTGGTTTAAAACTCAAGCCGGGCGCGTGTGCATGCATGCCCAAGATCCCGAGAGGAGAACATCCCAACGTGGCTGACCATGGTTTGAGTCCTGAACCCAGAGGCTTGAAACTTATGCTGGGTATGTGTGCATGCATGTCTGGAGTCCTGAGAGGAGAATGGAGGAGAAGGGATTGCGATGTGGCTATATCCATCCCCCAGGGTGTGATTTCTCACTTTCTGTCTCTCTGTTTCTATCTGGCAAGCATGTGTGCCCGAGAGCAAAAATCTCTCTTAAAAAATAAAATAAACTATATGGATTTTAGAATTATTTTGCACCCAAATAAACTTGTACTATTTTTTTTTTTTTTGCTACAGGTCATGTGCGCTCGCCAGACAGAGACAGAGAGACAGAAAGCAAGAAATCACCCCCCCCCGGGGGATGGCCACACTGCAATTCCTTCTCCTCTGTTCTCCTCTCGGGATCTTGGGCACGCACGCACACGTGCCCAGCGTGAGTTTAAGCCACCGGGTCTGGGACTCGAACTGCGGTTGACTACGTGGGAGTCCAGCGACATAGCCATTACGCTAACTGCTGGTCCCAAATAAACTTGTACTTTAATTCTGTTTTTCCACTAACTTTTTGAAATCTCTTCATATGTGAATTTCTTCCATTAAGACTGTGAAGCCATGTTTTCAGTAACCATAACACTGACCATAGATCAGTTATAAACCAAAATACTAAACCATACCTGTAATAAGCAGACATTTTGTATCTGGCTTAGTCTTTCATCTTTTTCTGCCAAATATTGACCAGAACAAATGACCCACTTATATACTGCCATGGGAAAAAATAGCATTGCAATGCTAAGTCTTTGTTCTTGAAAGACAACAGGGCTCAGATGGTCAAACAGCAATCTGGGAGACAGGGTCAGTGAATACTAAACCCGCCTTTGCCATTCCTTGCCTTTGGGATCTTAAGCAAAGCATTTATTCATCCATTCAGCCATTCATTTCATCATTCCCTTTGATATCAGATAATAACACCAGAGAAGTAGATGTGAGGAATCACTAATTAGATAATATGAAAGAGTTTTTCAACATAAAATGCTCTATTTAATAATTCCTCTAGAAACTAAAATGTCATATACAACTTATTTGTTAAATCAGATGTTTTATTATGTAAGCTGATCTTTCAAAGTAAGTAGGGAATTTTATAAGAGAACTTTTGGAGACATAAAAATTGTCCAGGCTACTAGGAGGAAAAATGTGTGTCAGAGATCAAACTGATATCTTTCCCTCTTAAAAGTTAGTGGTTTCAAAAATAGAAGATAAAGATTTATTTAATACACTCATTTAATAATAATTTATTGGTCATCTGCCATGTACCCCAAATAAAGTCTATTCGAAAACATTAGGCATACACAGTCTCCCGGATATGACAGAGTAATCAATACTTGTGAAAGGAGAGAAATCACTCCCTTCCCAGGAGGATGGCCACCCCACAATCCCTTCTTCTCCATTCTCCTCTCAGGATTTTGGGCACGCATGCACGTTGCCATTCCTTGCCTTTGGGATCTTAAGCAAAGCATTTATTCATCCATTCAGCCATTCATTTCATCATTCCCTTTGATATCAGATAATAACACCAGAGAAGTAGATGTGAGGAATCACTAATTAGATAATATGAAAGAGTTTTTCAACATAAAATGCTCTATTTAATAATTCCTCTAGAAACTAAAATGTCATATACAACTTATTTGTTAAATCAGATGTTTTATTATGTAAGCTGATCTTTCAAAGTAAGTAGGGAATTTTATAAGAGAACTTTTGGAGACATAAAAATTGTCCAGGCTACTAGGAGGAAAAATGTGTGTCAGAGATCAAACTGATATCTTTCCCTCTTAAAAGTTAGTGGTTTCAAAAATAGAAGATAAAGATTTATTTAATACACTCATTTAATAATAATTTATTGGTCATCTGCCATGTACCCCAAATAAAGTCTATTCGAAAACATTAGGCATACACAGTCTCCCGGATATGACAGAGTAATCAATACTTGTGAAAGGAGAGAAATCACTCCCTTCCCAGGAGGATGGCCACCCCACAATCCCTTCTTCTCCATTCTCCTCTCAGGATTTTGGGCACGCATGCACGGCATGATTTTCAAGCCACTCTTGTCCTGTACTTGAATTCCTTCTCCTCCATATCTCCTTCCTGTCAGGATTTTGAGGTTGCACACACACTCACCCAGTGTGTTTCTCATAACAGCCAGGTTCCGAACTCAAACCACAGTGTCAGCTAAGTGTGATCCAGTCACCCTAACCCCCAGGCCAGCCCCCAAAAGTTCATTTTTAAGATAGTTGTCTAACACCTCCTGTATATCCCTGGTGTTTTAAATTGAGTGTCATGCAGAGAGTATGATGATGTCAAAATCAAGTGAGAAAGAAGGCTGTCAGGCCACTTAATATGTGGATTTAAATCTCTGCTGGCTCTTATGTCAATGTGGCATAAAGCGAAGACTGCATTCTCATGGAGCTATGTCAACATCCTTTCACAGAATAGGTGCGGGTTCAAAATGCCTAATAAACACGACTGGCTCTTTATGTACCCTTAGAACTTAGCACTAGGTTTTGTTTGTTGTTGTTGTTTTTTGTTTTGTTTTGTTTTGTTTTGCTTCTGGCTGTTGGAAAGTCTTTTCATCTAAAACACCTCTAACAGTCTGCATGGGGGATATAGTGTTTTACCCAAAAAGGAGACTAAATTGTTAATCTTGCCTTTTATGCTTCTTGTACATTGCTCTATTTTTCTGCTTTGAGTAGGAAATTCTTGGAAGCTATAAAGGATTGTTAAGTACCTAATCATGTTGTATTTTATATACTTATCTTAAAATAGCGTCTCTTTTTTCAGATTTTGTTTTATTTCTTTGAGGGGCTTATACTTTCTCAAAGATTTTTTTCCCTGCTGTGGTTCCCTAGCTTGGATACAGATCCAGGTCTCAAGTTACTCTGCTTACCCAACAACAGTGTAATTTGGGGCAGTTTGTCACCTCTTGGACCTCAATTTTCTTATTTTCTTTTAATTATTTATTTAATTTTATTCATTCATTTATTTCTATTTGACTAGAGAGAGACAGAGAGAAAATAAAGCAAGCCATCAGATCCGGGACTTGAACCATGATCAGCCATGTGGGTTTGTCCAACGCTTTAACCACCATGCCACCTGCTGGTCCCCCTCAATTTTTTTATCTACAAAATGAATACTTTGGCCTTAAATATTAATTGACATAAAGCAGGGTTCATGTACCCCCTAGGGGGAGAGAGAGAGGGAAAAAAAGAGAGAGAGAGAGAGTTCCTCAGGCTGCTGGGTTCAGAATTTGAACCTTGCAGTCAGCATGTGGGATCCAGCTGCCTTAACCACCAGGCCACCTGGCTGGCCCCAGGAAATATGGTTTATTCTGATTTTGTAATAAATCCTGATAAAGCATTCTTGTTAACTATGGAAGAGAGAAAGCAACACCCTCCAAAGGACGTAGTCATGCTGCCAACCCCTTCCTCTAGTTCTCCAGTTTGCCGGGACACTGGGCATGTGTATGGCCTGTGTGTTTTCAGGCTGGTTGAGCCAGAGCCTTGAACCACAGTCAACACGTGGCTTCTAGCTCTGCAGTCTGGTATGCTGCCAACTACACCACAGAGCATGGGTTAAAAGATACTTAATTTTCATGGAATATGGTTTAAGTTGTGGGTAACATATGATTTAGCAAAGTATACTAGGATTAATATTAATCAATAATGATATTCTATTTAATTCAATTAATAGTAAACTAAAACACAGGGTACAGTATGTGATTATTTTTAAATTGCTAGAGGATACAGGCACTTGCCAGAGAGAGACAGAGAGAAAGAGAGAGAGAGAGAGAGAGAAAGAATGTGAACGAGTCCCCCGATGGGGAATGGTTACTGCAATCCCTCTCCCTTTCTCCTTTTGAGATTTTGGGTATGCACATTTGTTTCTCAAGTACCAGGATTCCATACCCATAGCCTGCAGTCGGCCATGTGGGATCCAGCTGCCTTAATCACCACACCACCAGCTGGCCTGATATTTTCATTCATAGCTCAGAATTAGATATTTTATATAAGGGTGCAAGGAGGAGGATCTGCTAATAATGGTCAAAGATCATTTCAAAAAATTATTCTATGAAAAGACCTATCAGGGACCAGCAGGTGGTGTGGTGGTGAAGGCACTGGACACTCCCACATAGCCGACCACAGTTCGAGTCCCGGACCTGTTGGCTTGCTTTCTCACTCTCTCTCTTTCTCTCCCCTCCTCCTCTTTGTCTCTCTCTGGTCATATTCAAATAAATGAATGAATAAATAAAATTAAATTGAGAAAAAGACCTATCAAATTTTATAGTTGTACAACATTACAATAAAAAAATTATACTTGCTTGTATAATTCTGAGATGGCTCTTCCTGTGCAGCTGGTGTTTCCCAGACAAGTGTAAATGAGGGTCCTCATATTTCTCTGCCTTTAGGACCCCACCAATAATTATTGGCTCTGCACCTGCTCCTGCAGTGCTCCCTACCTCCTAATGGATGCACCAAGCGAGTTTCTCATGGCCTGTTCTCAAACACATTGGCACTGCCTGGCTTTAGCCCTTTTTGTCTTCTGCTGCTGCCTTTGGTTATCCTCCATCTTTAGGAAAGGGACCAAAGCCACAGAAACTGTCACTATCTCAAGTGTGTCCCAAAGTGCATCCAGCATGCCTCACTCAAGAGTTTCTCTCACGTCCTCTCTGTTACCTGGTTTCCATAAACCAGAGCTCCAGTGCTTAGTGTCAGTGAAGTGGCTCTCATGCGTATTTTTCTGCTGCCTCTCCTGCCCAGGCTCTTACGCTTGCCCTTGGAAGGCTCTGGGCAGAAGCAGGGCCCTGAGCCACACACTCAGATTGCTTTCCCTTTCACGCTGGTCCTATGCCCTTCAAACACTCTCACTTTCTAAGGACGAACTCCTCCTCGGGGCCATGCAAAGACACCTTGAGGTTATCAGGAGTATGTCCAACATGTACATGCATCTTAGGGTGCACATGGCTTGTGTTAATTTAGTCCTCCTCTTATGTGGCCTGACTTCCTGGATCTGTTTGGTGAATTATGACACTGTTGCAAAAATCCTTACCTCTGTCAACCACAGAAGGCATCTGTCTTCTTCTGTGAGAAAGGGTGTCTAATTCTTCTGAACCTTTTCTGGCCCTATGTCTAGGGTAGGTTCAAGAAAGCAATGTGTTCTTATGTCTTCTTCTTTTTTTTTGGAGAGATTTTCACTGTAGGGCGCATGCGCTCGCCAGACAGACAGAGAGAGACATAGAGACAGAAAGCGAGAAATCACCCCCCAGGGGGGATGGTCACGCCGCAGTCCCTTCTCCTCCATTCTCCTCTCGGGATCTTGGGCACGCATGCACACGCGCCCGGCGTGAGTTTTAAGCCACCAGGTCTGGGACACGAACCGCGGTTGACTACGTGCGAGTCCAGCGACATAGCCATTACGCTAACTGCTGGTTCCCTTCTTATGTCTTCTTAAAGAATTACATGTTTTATACCATTTATGATGGCATAAAAGAAGGAAAGATAAGAAATTACCAGCACATAATTTAGAGCCTAGATTATTACAGTTTTTAAAACATTTTATTTAGTAACTGTTCTATATATATACTTATGCCCAGCTATTATTTTCCTTTGGCCTTTGGAGAAATCTTATTTTATTTTTCTAGATACTATCTCTTTTTTCCTGGTGGCTCAGGATGGTAATTATGTTTCTTCCTTTTCTTAGACCCCTGTGTATTCCTTTGAGCTATTTTTTGTTTTTATTGTTGTTGTTTGCTAGTGCACAGAACTCTGTCATCTCTCCCAGAGATCTAGAAAAGCATCTTTTATGTTTCCGTTAAATTTCAACCCTTGACAAGCTTCTATAGTTGGTTTAGAATAAATTATCAGGATGTCACTGAAGCTGAGGAACTGTACTGGAGAGTCAGGTTTCACAAAAATATTGTCTTCCTTATTTGCAGATGGAAAAACAAAGTCACTGAGTGAGACGTAACTTCCTTGGGTTGACCATGCCAAGAAAGCCTGACCTGAACCTCCGACTTCCTGATCAAAGACTCTTCCACTCTGTGTGTCTTTTCTCTTTAGCGCTCCACCCTCAGCCCATTTCCTCCAATACCACTACCACTTAATAACCACAGCAGAAAGAAAAATGCTAACCCAGCAACAATAACAGAAAAACCAGTGAGTGGCATAAAACGGTGTAGACAAAGATACGATGCATCTGTGCAAGGTAAATCTGAAAATAATTGAGCTCAATATTTTCATGATAAAAATGATTAAAAAATAATTCTTCTATTTGTCTAAAAGCTCATTTTCTCAGGCAATGAAAAAAAAAAAAAGATGTCTGGAGATGATGAATTTATTAACCCCTAAAGCTGGAACTTGTGAGGAACTCCACCTCAGTTTGACCTAGTCCCCCCCCAAAAAAAGAACCTGAAAGGAGGGTAACAACAATGTCAAGTTCACTTCTAAGTCTACAGAAACAATAAAGCCACACAGCACAAAAGGGAGGAAGAGGGTCATATCCTTTCCATTACTTACAGCCTCCTCTTGTGTTATGCTCAAGCGTCTATAAAAATAGGATGTCCTCTTGAGAATCATTTTGTTTATGTTACTTTTCTCAGGTCTGGAAGTTTTTTCAAATGTGTACTTATGTATTTTAGATGAATGTTTCAAACAAGTTTTACCTCTTTATTACATTACAGATCAAAAATTAACTCTAATTAGTGTTTTGTTGGTGCTTGTGCTTTATACACTTGGCTTTGAAGATCAGAAAAGAGCGTGTCTGTGCTTACATGTTATTTACTTTCTCCCACACACCCTGACGTCATCTGGACATTCTCTAATTTAAAACATCAGCATCGAAAACATTGAGCCAAAGGTATTTACATGTATAAACATTAAGTTTCAGGGTAGTAATGAAGCAGGAGGGTCCAGTGGTCAGATGCATTGGCTCTGATGTCAGAGTTTAGCACTACTTTGTGGGCTTGGGCAAGTCAGTATTTTCTTGGGGCCTCTGTTTCTTCATTTATACAATGGAAAGTAAGCACAATGCCATATGTAAAACGCTTAGCACTGTGTCAACATGAAAAATGTGTTTCATACATCTGTAATAGTGGTTAAGAACATAAACTTGGGAGCTGAGTATCCTGGGTTCAAGTACTGACTCAGCTAACTGGGCAGGTTACTTATCTTAGTGACTCTGTTCCTCTCTCCATAAAATGAGAATAATTAAAGTACCTTTATCATAGGGGTGGTGTGAAGATATAAAGATAAAATAGGCAAACCTCTTAGAAAGGTGCCTAGCACACAGTAAGTATAAACAGCTATTATTATTAATTTTTTTTTGAGAGTGAGAGAAATTTTTGCTATAGGGCATATTTGCTCACTGGAGAGACAGAGAGACAGAAAGCAAGAAATCACCACCCAGTGGGGGAAGGGGGATGGCCATGCCACAGTCTCTTCTCCTTCGTTTTCCTTTCAGGATTTTAGGTGTCCATCAGTACTCAAACTGCTCTTGGCCACGTGAGAGTTCAGCATCTTAATCACTACGCCACCTGCTGGCCCTTACTACTATTATCCTAGAATTGCATTGTTAATATGGTAGCCATACTTGGCTATTAAATACTTGATATGTATTAGGTTGTCGGGAAAGTCATGACATATTTTTCTCTGCAAAAGTGTGTCCTGACTTTCCTAACAACCCGATAATTAGTGCTAATTGTGATTTGTTCCCAATGTGTAATACACATTGAATTTTAAATACTTAATATAAAAAAGAATATAAAACATTTCAATTTTTATATTGATTACATGTTGATCTGATAACATGGATATATCGAGTTTAATACATTATTTAAAATAATGTACTTGTTTCTTTTTACCCTTTCAATGTAGCTACTTGAAAATTTAAAAAGCACATGGGTGGGGACCAGCAGTTGGAGTAATGGTTATGTCGCTAGACTCCCATGTAGTCGACTGCAGTTCGAGTCCTGGACCTGGTGGCTTAAACTCACACCAGGCACGTGTGCTTGTGTGCCCAAGATCCCGAGAGGAGAATGGAGGAGAAGGGATTGCGCTGTGACCATACCCCCTGGGGGGGGATTTCTCGCTTTCTTTCTGTCTCTCTCTGTCTTTCTGGCAAGCGCACATGCCCTATAGCAAAAACCTCTCCAAAAAAAAAAAAAAAAAGTACATGGGTGGCTTGCATTATACTTGCATTGGACAGTGTTATTCTAGACTGTAGAAATCTTAAAGCAAAAAGCTCTTCACTTTTATTAAATTCAAAATTCAGAATATTTATTGTATGCTTTTCATCATAAAAAAAGAAATATCGAGGAAAACCAAGGGAATTACAAAGTATTAAGTGAAGCCACTAGAACTGCCAAATAAGTTAATACAATTTAAGTTGCGTTAATCTTTCTAGAACAAATTCCCCTTTCGCCTCTGGAGTGTTCAGTGTAGTTTTGGGATTACATTTTTAGGAAAGACAAAGACAATCTGGATTATATCCTTCAGAAGACTTACAGGAAGATGAGAAGTTCTCATCACTAGTTCACAAAATGGAAAAACCAGGTGGTTAAAATAGGGATATATTCAGCCAGATGAGATAAAGACTTAAAGAGAGACATGATGACCATTCTCAAATACCAAAGTTTGACATGTGGGAATGGAATTGACTGATAGCATTCAATGAGGTCTGGGTCCTAGAAGACAATATTTCAGCTTTAACATATGCAGCAATTTTTAAAGAATGAAGTTGTCCCAAAATGGAATGAGCCACCTTATAGAACATTCAAGACTTCCTCACCCGAAATGTAAGCGGAGAATTACAGAAAGGTGAAGACCTCCGAAAGCTTTTCAGACTCTTGAGATCCCACAAGTAAAGCACCTCTACGGATTCCGGAATAGAGTTGCCAGTTCCTGCAGCATAACCAGGGCAACTAGAGTGCCACCATTTTAATTAAGTTTTTAAGAGATGTTAAAGATATTTACTGATAGTGGCTCAAGAAAACAGGGGTTACTGTAGAGGTGTGTGAGATAGATTGGGATCGGTTGCCGTTTGAGTCTTTCCTAGCCTTGAACCTACTCTATGATCTTAGCTTCTCTCACCTAAATGTTTCAGTCTTTCCTTTTCTCAATTCAAGTTTTGTGAGAGGAATGATTGTCCAACATTTTTTTTTTCCAGGTGAGGTCACTGGACACTGTATAGATGGACTCTCCTTGTGTCTGGTGGCGTTCACTGATTCAGATACATGGGGCTGGGGAGTTTTATTTATGTGGGAGGGGACATTTCCACCAGAAACAGTTGTGGGTGGAGCAGGAAGTTATTGATATTTTTAGTATCGTCACTGAAAGATGGAAGCCATGAGGTTTATATCCAGAAATTTAGAAAAAAACACGTGTTAGGAAGAAGGAGCCAATTCAGAAGGTTCTGGTTCGAGATTAATGACAGAAATGTGAATTTTGGTTTTGGTAGTCCAAGTGTGGCTTATGAATTAGTAACATCTGTATCACCTAGGAGCCTGTTAGAAATCAGACTCTCAGTCCCAACTCCACCAGACCTTCCAACCCAGAATATATATTTTAATAAGATATCCAGGTGACTTCTATTCATCTTAAAGTTAGAGAAGTGTGGCCCTGTGATGACTTGGCTTGGTTTAGACCTCCTAACAGTTTTCTACATAATTTTACTAGGACACTTCTGGTAGTACGTGTTAGCCATGTGAGAACCAATGATAAATTACCGGAAGTGTGGTAAATTGTTTCATTTTACATCGATGGCTTGGAATCAGCTATCATGGTTGTATTTACACATGGAAACTGGCTCATAGTACAACTTTATTTCTTTTTTTACTGGAGAATCAGTTGTAAAACTTTTCCCAGCATAACACTGGGCAGTTTTAAAATCTCCTAATTCAATCTGTAATTAAATTAATCTTTTGGGGGACTTTTGGACAGAGAAGCTCCCATATATAGGGGACAAAAGAAAAAGAGTTCCAATCTCTTACGCACTGAACTTTCAACCTTATGACTAGAAAAAAACCATTACTGTGGTAGTCATGTCTTTGTAAAAAAATTTATCTGGGGACCAGTAGATGGCATAATGGTTATGTCGCTGGACTTCTACAAAGTCGACTATGGTTCAAATTCCAGATACAGCAGCTTAAAACTCACGCTGGGTATGTGTACGTGTGTGCCCAAAATCCCAAGAGGAGAATGGAAGAGGAGGGATCGTGGCAAGGCCAGCCCTCCTGGGGGTTGATTTCTCACTTCCTACTTTCTGTTTCTCTGTCTCTCCCAGGAGCATACATGCCCCACAGCAAAAATCCCTCATTAAAAAAGTGTTCTGATTAAGCACACTTTTAAGTAATCAAAGTAAGCACAACGAAGGAAGATAATCTGGGAGTTGGTAATGCTTAAAATCCATATAGGCAGAGAGACAGGCACTTGGAAATTCTCCCAGTTGACTGCTGGACAGTTTTCGAAGTAAAGCCCAGGCATGGAATAACAGTTTGTGTGCAGTGAGGGTGAAGATAAAAGTGGGTAGCTTCTAGTCCTAGAGGCACACATACTACTAAAATTTCTATATTGAGCATATGTTAATACGATATTAGAGATAAAATTTTATTGTTACATTTACTCTGCATTATATTGAGCAAACATTGATTAAATCAAACAGTTCTCCTCCAAGTTACTATTAGGTAAGGATGCAAATGTTCCATGAAATTATATAGGAAGTGTTTTTTCCAGAGTATGGTCTCTGGGCCAGTATATAAGCATCCCTGAGAACCTATTATAAAATGCACATTTACAGGCTCCCATCTCAGACTGATCAGATCAGAAACTCAGGGACTGGGACCCCCACTCTGTGTTTAATATGCCTTCTGAGTGATTCTCATGCACAGTACTAAAACAGGAAACGTCTTGGAGTTCCTTATTTTTGTCCTGTAAGAGAATCATTTTCAACTTCAGCTTCAAATGGGAAGTACCTCATTTTGCTATAGAGTTTCCAGCTCAACTGGAAGACAGTTGAAGAAGGCAGAGAACAGAGATCCAGACAACTATAGGACCATGCAAACACTTAGTAACTTTTCCCAAGAAAATTAGCCGGGCAGACTGTCAGCTGGCATTTTGCCAAGACTCTTAAGTGTATAAATCTTCCTAAAAATCAACTGGGAGAAGTTGCATTTTAAAGCAAACCCGGAAGAAGTGCATAAACAGTCTGAA